GCAATTCAGTCGTTTTTCTTAGAGTTCAGTGACTTGTTTTTTATTCGGAGTTTAAATTCCAAACCTCGTAATTCATTTGTAAATACAGCTTACTTCTTGAAATTTCTCTCCTTTGTCTATTTTCAAAATTTGAACCTTTTCATTTCTTTCCATAACAAAGTGGTTTCGTAAAGAGCAGCTCGATGACCTCTATCCTTCAATGACAAAAAAGTAAAAGGATTGCATCATTTTGAAACTGCTGATGAGCTATCCGTCGCTTGACTGTAAGAAAGAGTCACTAACCAGAAGTCATTTGTATTGATGATTTGCCCTGTCATTCGAAAAACCTTAGTGAAGTAGTTCATAACATGAGTTAAAGAAAAATAGTTAGAGGAAAATCTCAGTCTCTCTAATTTGTGAAAAAGTTTCCCTCCTGTTTTTCAGTACACATACTAATCTTTTAGATTTTATTCAAGTTAGAGTGATAACTTTGTTTCAGTTTTAGTAAATAATATAAGACAGCGAAACTTTCTTATTTTACACTTCTAAATACAAAATGCTTCCTCATTGTACTGAATTGAGTTCTATTTCTAGTGAATGTTCGTGAAAAAGAATTTTCTATATTGCACTTCTCTATTGACTACCATATTCCCTTGGATTTTAACCATACGCCATCTCTTTTTCTCTCTTTTGTCTATTTTCTGTAAGGCGTCGGAAATTTTAAGTTCAGTTTCATGTTACGCATTATTCAAACAGATGCATAATCACATTTTTTTCTCTGTTTCAAGTAAGAAATTTTAATTTTATTCTTAAAAAGAACTTTTATCCATACGGGTATCTACTTTTCTTGTTTACTATACATGAACAGTCAGGAGTTATTAGAACTGCGACAAATAGGGATTTTCTTTTTTTTTTCTTTTCTATTTTTTTTTCTTATTCACGTTATATATAGTGTGTGTGATTTTTTCCCATGAAATAAATTGTCATGAAAGAAAGATCAAGTAATTCACTTCCGTCATCCATTGTTTGTTTTGTCTTTGCTTCGAGAAGTTAGTGTTTATGACTGAAAAAAAAGTAAATGCAACATCCATAGTAAGTATTTTACTCCAACACACAGTATGGATAGATAAAAATACCAAAAATGATTGAAACGCATTGACGAATTGCACACTTTCCTTGAATGAGACTAGAATTGAGTTTCCAAAGTATCAATAAAATTCAGTCTTCAGTGCAATGTTCGAGTCGAGCGACTATCAAACATAAGTGAAAAACTATCAAGTAATAAAGTATGAATCGCGTTGTGGAAATACACCTTTTATGAAGATCAATGGGAGGGGAACTCGGACACGAGCCGCAGATAGGATGAAAAGTTAGATTAAGTTGATCCTCCATTTCGATAGAATATGTCTTTGAACTCAGTCCAAAGACTCACCGAAGTTTCAGATCGGACCGAAAGTTTGGGTCAAAAATTCCTTGGACAGAAATTAATGTAACCCGATCAGATAACAGAGTATTAAGAGTCAAAACCCAAGTATAAAATTTGTTCTTAACATGTTATCATCTTTTTAGAATTTCTACTGACTCAAAACTAAACCAATCCTTTGAAATTCATAACAAACCAATAGATTTTAAGTCAATTTTTCTGACCAGTTATTGATTCAACCAACTTTCATCAGAAAGCCTTCGGTTCATTTTTGGACTTAGGTACGTATTAGTTAATTTGATCATTTTATCCAACATACAGTGCAAAATTAACCATTAATAACTTATTAGCTGCGGTCGAAAACGATCAACATTCAGACATGCACCAGTCATATGGCAATATTCAAGACGAAAATGAATCAAGCGTCTATTCAACTGAATCAAAAGCACTGCATTGGCACGAGCAAAGTGAAAACACGATTTCAAAGGAAGGTAATGATTATAGCTTGGAAGAACAATTAAAGAACGGACTCGAAAAACTAAAAATTCGAGACGCAAATTTAATATCACAAAAAATACAGAGAACAGAAGAACGAATCAAAGATTATAAAGAAGAGGAAAAACAAGAAGATATTGAGAAAGAACAGAAATACTTATGGGAACTTCAGAAGTTACAAAAAATTTCGGAAAAAATTTATTCTAAATCTGCCTCGGGTATTTCCAATAAGGATAGCGAGTCAAATGTGGATAGAACTGACAGACAAGATGTCGCAAGTTCAAGCAACATAATTGCACTTGAGAAAAATAAAAAAATTTTACATCTGAACGAATTACGTGAAGATTCCGCTACCATGCCACCTTGTGCTGAAAAAACCATATTGGGACTTTTAGAACATTTTGAACAGAAATTATTAGAAGATTATTTGTACTCGCAGGAACAAAACTTAATAATTGAAATGTTAAGTGAACTGTATGATCAGATTAAAAGGCAAGGTTTACTTTCCGAAGAGATTCAAACTAGTCTTCAAAATTTAAGCATAGCCGTAAATAGTGGTAATGACTTAAGTTCAGCGGATATTTTACATGAACTTCAAAAAAGAATCAGACCATTGAATGTACCAGAGATACAAAGACTCGTGTCTAAAGCGAAAAAGGCTGCTGAATTAATCCGTAATAAAGATATTATTTTGCTAGTAGGTGAAACTGGTAGTGGAAAATCTACCACGATTCAATTTCTTGCAGGTTCTGTGATGAAAGAGATTCAGGTGGAGATTGAACCCGGAAAATTTTTAGAACATATTACAGCAGTTGGACCTGTCAAGAATACAGGATTAAATAATGTGACTAGTAGTCCATTTCACAAATCAGAAACGCGCTATATTGCACCAGTTACGATACAGTTAAAGGATATTCTTGATAGTCATGAAACCGATGTTATTACTTTGTGTGATGCACCTGGTTTTGCTGATACAGCAGGTGCTGAAGTAGATATTGCTAATAGTGTAGGGGTTATCGAAGCATTGAAAGGAACTAAGAGTGTCAAGATACTTGCCTTGTCAAGCTATCAAAGTTTAGGTGATAAAGGTGACGGAATTCAGAAAATGGCACATATATTAATAAATATGATGCATAAAATAGATGACAGACTTGACGCTATTGTTTATGCATTTACAAAATATTCTGAGAAAAAAAACATTAATGCTGTATTAACGGATATTAAAAATTGGAAAGTAAATAAAGATCAGCTTTTACGATCTGATACTGCGTTTGTGAGTGTATTGTCAGATATGATTGATAAAACTGAAGAAAATACTTATAAAATCGATCCTATTCATGGCGATCGGAAAATATTAATTAGAAAATTAAAACGTACAAAAGGTATTCAGTATCCGGAAGAAGTTTTTCGATTTTCTATGAGTGGAGAAACACGAGCTAGTATTGCTAACCATGTTCAAAAAGATAAGTTTAGTATTATTTGCGCAGTAAAACACAAAAACAACGAACTTGTAATGTATTACTTAAATGATTTGAAAATCTTACAAGATTTAATAAAGGAAAGTTTTGTTGAAGATGCTTATGAAAGTTCAATACGTTGTATAAGTGAGAGCATTAGTGAATCTTTTAAGGAAATAATGAGAAAATTTAATCGTGCTTTCGCTAGTCAAGATGGATTAGGAGAAGATGACATTCGGGATTATAAAGCTGCTGTTGAATATCTTCAACAGATTCAAATCTTAAAAGAACATTTAGGATCATCTCTATTATCACCTGAAACATTGATGCAAAACATCATTTCTGAATTGCATGAAAGAAGTCGTGCTCTGAATGAAGAAGAACTGTACAATTCTTTAGTTGGAATATATTTGAATAATCTTCGCATGCTTAACAACTCGTTTAAAGAACTTGAAATATACTATCGTAACAGTTGTAAAGAGTTCGATGAGCGTTTTTATTTATTAGTACAATCTGCTCGCGAGCTCATTCCAACAAATGATTTCAAGCAAATTGCCGCAATTATTCTTAATATATCTAAATCTTCGCGTGTTCTGAAAGATCACTTAAATGAAAAAGCTGAAGAGATGTATTACAACATCGTCCAATCGCTCTTCCAATACCTAAGTAGTTTCTCGGAAAAGGCAGATCCTCTTTTACAAAAGATTCGATTTAGCAATGATGATATTAAAATTCTTAAAAGTTACATTGAAATACTGAGATCAGCTAAAGAATGTTCTCCACTTCAAGATCGTATTTTCACATATATTGATATGTTAAAAACAAAAGTTACTGTCTCAAATCAGTACAGTACAAATTCGGTCTCTGAAGAAATCATCATAGATCTGAATGAAATTCATAATAATTTTATTACGAAAATTATGAAATATTTCGATGAGATAAACGTCAGAATTGAAGAACTTTTTAAACGAACTAGAGATCATGCTTTAGAAGATATACAAAAATTAGTCGATGATATGGATGCTATTCGTACAATTCCAGAACTTGAATCAAGGACTGCTGGAACATATTATCGTACTGTTGAGAACATACGTGGTTATATGCAGGAATTGAAAATAGAAGCAGAGCAATTACTATATGCTATAGATCATCAAGCTGGAACTATTAGTTATAGACATTGAAAAACGCAGAATGGATCGATCGTGTTAGTCCAGGAGTTTATGATACTACAATGCGTCGTATTACAGAAGAATTAGTGCAACATGCTTGTCAATTGGAAGATCGTTTGATAAAAATAGATTACAGTTTAAAATGTCCAGAAAATGTTTCTGTTGCGCAAGAGATTGTTGAAAAAATTGAATCTATGCGTGATTTAGAACGTAGTGTTCCAGAACTTGAAAAACACAGAAAAAATGTACTACAACGATTTTTACAATACACACAGACAGTCTTCGATCGTATACAAAAAAGTTTTAATTTACAAGATAATGATGTTTATCTTATGAAACAAGAATTGAAAAAACTTGAAGAAATTAAAAAAGAATATGATGATTTGCATCCAGCTCGTATATTTTTACGAAAATACGAGTATTCAGATATTACTATGTTGAATCGTGAAATTGATGAATTAAAAACTAGACAAAAAGTCGACGTTCAAGAAGCAGAAACAGAAATACATGGCATGGAGTGTAAATTAGAGAATTTGAGTGCAATTGTTCGAGAATATATGAGTTTATCTCCTTCAGAAATCGATCGAGATGTAACTGGAAAACAGTCGAGCATGATAGGAAAAGCATTGCAAAGCAAAAATACACAGGCAGAAAATTATTTAGAGACAGTAGGATATTCAAGTGTCGGTATTGTGTACGATAAGATTGCAGAAATACAAAATAATCATCGTAATAAATTACAATGGAGTGAGAAACAGAAAGAAGAATTAAGTAATTCCTTACGTCGTCTTGAATCAATAAAAAAAGAACATGACTCGATATTAGCTTCACGTAATTTAGTATCTCATGAAGAAATAAATTTTCTTCGAGAAAAAGGATTCGACAGCTATGAATTACTTAATGATAGAATACAAGAGAAAACGAGAATTATTAGTGAACGTGAAAAAAATAAACAAGCATATCATTTTAGTGACAGATTAGATGCATCTACAGCAAGTAATGCGTTAGTATATTTAAGTCAATGCGAAAAAGTAGGTGATGATAGTATAAGAGGAAATGCAGCTGATACCAATGAAATATTGAAAAAATATTTAAGTGAATACGGTAATTTTCTTAATCATGAAATAAGTAAAAAATTCCATTATGTATGTAGGATTGACGTTGAAGGCGGTCCTTTTCAATATTCTCAAGATTTAGAAATGCGGTTACAAGAGTTATCATCTCTTAGTAGATTTGTGAATGTTTTCGAATGTATCGATGGACTTGAGAAAGTAGAATATTGGCATCGAGAATTTCTTGAATATCATCGTATTCTGGATGATACAATGAAAGCATATGAAGATGATAAAAGATATAGAGAATTAAATAATTATCTAACTATAGCGCATGTATTGACTTGTGTTGATCGTTTTTGTGTAGTTGTGTTTGCCGGTAATGGATTTGGAACTTTATATAGACAATATCAAGGGAAAAGACGTAATGAATGTAGAGTAGCGTATAAGACTGTTTTAGATTACATATCAAATGAAGATTATGCCAATGCAGATATAGCATTATCTGATATTGATGATAATCCTTTAAATCCAAGACATAAAGCTCAAATTCAGCATGATTTACAGAGTTCTTTAAATAAGTTGATGAATAATACTAAAAGTATTGTAAATTGGCTTGATGGAAAAATTGAACGAGAAGAAGATAATCGATCTCAAATAAAAGAAATAAAAGAAAATATTGACAAAATTCGAATTGCTTTAAATAAACATAGTATAATGGATCTACTTGATAGTGGAACTCGTGATGATCTTCAAAATTTTGATAAAGAAATAAATGAAATTTTATCGAAAATTATTTTAAGAGGACTTGAATCTATTGAAGCATTTATGGATGCTGATAGTTTTTCTGAAACTGAACAAGGAATGGAAAATCTTAGTCGAGTGCAACGTGAATTAGCAGGTTATTGTACATCCAAAAGTGTTAATGAAAAATGTGAAGTCCTAAGAGAAAGAGTAAATTGTATAGTTAGTGAAATTTTGAAAAAAAATGACTTTGCAGATGTCGACAACTATTCTGTCAATCCGCCTAGAGAGCTATTAGCTAAATTAAAAATGGTTGCATCACATGGTAGTCCTAGATTTACTCAAGCTTATAATTCAATGTTAGGAAAAGTTAGACAAAGTTTTATTTTAGCTATAAGTGAAGTACGTAATGCATCTTTACATGAACGTTGTATAAAAATACGTTCATTAAATTATGCATTATATTTTTTACCTGAAGATTTGCAGATTCATTTCAAATTACAAATTGATGAATTAAGCAAGTTAATTACCGATGAAGAGAAAGCACATAAACAAGAGCTCGAAACATTGTTTACAAATATGGATGAAGATGAACACGCTATCACAAAAGTAGGGTTACTAGCTGAGCGGTATAAAAAGGAAAACTTGAATGATCTTTTTAATCAATTACGTGAACAAAGTTTAAAGAAACTGCACATGTATCGAACGAACGTGCAGATTTGTGTAGATAAACAAGATATACAATCTACTGTTTCTATTGTCAAGAAAATATTCACATTTAAAGAATCTCTCGGTACCTATATTCCAGAAGTAACAGAAATATACGATAGCGTTTATACTTTAACAATAAAAGGATTTTCATGTTGTTGTGAAACTCTTGCTAATATATCTTCGACTGAACAAACACAATTAATCGAAAAAGGATTTAGTGATATTCTTGTTTATCTAAAATTTTCTGATACATTCAATAAACGAGACGAAGAATTCTTTCCAGAAAATGAATTACAAAATGCATTTCAGAGAATGTCGCAATATTTAAATGAAAATTCTAGAAAATTTCAACCTGCTCTAGAACAAATGAATATCATTGAATTATATAAAGTTATGTTAATATCGAAGAAATGGGATAAACTTTTACAAAACATTAGTCAATGTCAATTGAAACATAATTTAGTAAGAAATTTATTAGAAGAATTGAAAAGAATTATTCCGTACACAGATATGATTAATGAACTTGAAAACAGGGTGATTCAACTAAAGAATCAATTAAATGTTGAGCTTATTAGTGATGACACAACGAATTTTGAAATTAAACGCGAAGAATTTTTTAGTAATTTAATGAGAATAATCGAAATGTTAAGAACGATTAATTTGAAATTTAAAGATATTTTATCATCAACATTCGATGTCGATAAATTAGAAGATCTGAAAAAGAAAGTCGAAAGAATTAGTGACCAATTACTTGCAAAAGCATCAAAAGATGATCTTTCTCCTAAGGATACTGATGATTTTCGTATGTATTATAATCATCTTCTATCGTTTGAAAAATATATGCATATTCCAGAAATAAAAAATATTCAATCAGTTTTAGATCAATCAGAAGGCAAAATTCTTAAAAAAGTAATAGATTTACGTAAAGAAATTATCGAGTCTTGTTCAGATGCTGTAAAAGTTTGTAAAATGTTAATTAAAATGAAATTTTTTGCGGAAAATTTACCGATGTTTGATACGAATATTCATACGGAAATTGATGAAACTTTAAAAATTTATAAAGAAAAAAAAGGTAATTTAGGTATGACAAGTTTAACTTTAGAATTAGAAAAAACAGATGTAGGTAGTCGAATAATTAGTGAACATTCGTATTTCAGTGGAGAAGATTGTCGAAAACGACGAGAAAAAATGCAAAAACAGGATGATCTTGAATATGTGCTAAATGAATTAACTGGAGATGATATTTCGAAGAAAGTTTTACGTTCACGTTACACTACTTTTAAAGAAAAATATGATAAATTAGTGTCTAGTAATCTAAGTTTTTTCAATCAGAGCGCTAATAAAGAACCAGATGTCGAGGTATTAGTTACACAAATCAAACATCTTGTTGGAACAATAAGTCATACATCTAATTCTGTTACTTGGAGTCCTCCCTTTAGAGACGAGATTCCTGAGCTCTTAGCGCATATTTTCGCTGTTTGGACGTTACAGAATACCCAACTTTATAATACAATGCGCGGTATCGATGCACCACAATCTTATTTATTAATGCCACATGTTGGGCAAGTTATTGCTATTTTTCGTCTTCTTGGTATCGGTTACGAAACACACAAGAAAATTCCAATAATCAATGTATCTTATAAGAAAAAAATTTCAGATGATTTAATTAATAATTTAGTGCAAGTAGGCACAGGTGAAGGTAAATCAGTTGTGATGGCAATAACTGCTTGTGTTTTTGCTCTTACCGGAGTAGATGTAAACTGTTCATGTTATAGCGAAGTTTTAAGTGCACGAGATAAGAATGATTTTGCTTCAGTTTTCCGAGCACTCGGAATAGAAGAACATATTGATTATGGTACTTTTAATAAATTATGTGAACAGTTATTGAATGAGCAATGTAATGTCCGAGAAAAAGTACGTGATATGATTGCAACTAATCAAAGTACGCTTCCTGTAATTGATACATCAGTACGTATACGTCCAAAAGTATTGTTGATTGATGAAGTAGATGTTTTTCTAAGTGAAAAATTTTATGGTGGAACATATACACCATCTGTATATTTGAAAGATCCTTCAATAAAAGAATTACTAAATTCCATCTGGCAAAATAAGAGTTTAAAAACATTAAATAGTGTAAAAGCTTTGCCAGCATATAAAACTTGTGCAACTAAATATAGTAACTGGATTTTTCTTTTCGACGAAGCCATAAAAGATATGTTAGCTGCTTTACGATCGTTTCAATCATCAACATATATCGTACAGAGTGATAAGATTGTTTATGTTGAAGGAGGATCTATAGCAGATAATGTTGTTCGTGGTTATGATACGATTTGGGCATACTATCATGAAAAGGGAAAAGATAATATTAGTGAGAGTAGTCTAAATGATAATGTAGGTATTATTTTAAACTGTGGAACATTTTCTTACGCTGAAATGCCTCATGATTTTGAGTATATTGCTGGTGTTACTGGTACTTTGCAAACACTTGCAAAAGCAGAAAAAGATATACTAGAAGAAGTGTATAAAGTTCACAAAATGACGTATATGCCATCCGTATTTGGAAGTAGTAATCGTACTTATAATCCGAGAACTGATGTGCGCGCAGTAAAAGATAGTGAATATTTTATGGAAATTTGTGGAGAAATTAATGCGGTACGTCATGCATGTCGTGCGATTCTTGTATTTTTCGAATCTCAAGAAAAACTGCTGATGTTTTATAATTCCTCTGAATTGTCTTCTATAAAGCACGACGTACAAATTATAACGGAGACGGTTTCTGTAAAAGAGAGAGAGCTATACATTAAACGAGCAGCAACAGTTGGTAGAGTTACACTATTAACTCGAACATTTGGACGAGGAACTGATTTTATATGCCGTAATCAACAGCTCTTATTGAGTGGTGGTATTCATGTACTTCAGACATTTTTTTCAGAAGAATCATCTGAAGAATATCAAATTATGGGTAGAGGAGCACGACAAGGAGATCATGGTTCATACAGAATGATTTTATCAGATAAAGATTTAGAATGGGTTCTAGGCGCTTCTTGGAAGGAAGAGCTTCCAAAAATAGTCGGTACTATACTTTATCAAACTTTAAACGAAGCTCGTAACGCTCGATATGAAAGTAAATGTGGTGCAAAACATCTCAGTATAAAACAATGCAGAGATAAACATCAAGCTTCTAAAGCTTTTATGGTTGCGTTAACCACAGGAAACATGGAAACAGTGATAAAGTTTCTGAAAGAGCAAAATAAAGGAGCAAATTTGATTACAGTTTCGTCGCGTACAGTTTTGCTTATGGATGCCACAGGCTCTATGTCAAGCTTGTTAACGGCAGCTAAAGAAACTGTTTGTACGATGTTTGAACGGGCTTCGATTGTTTTACAGGAGAAAGGCCTGCCTAGTGATGCATTTCAAATGCAATTTACAGTGTACAGAGATTATGACTGTGAAAAAGATGGAGTTCTGCAGAGTTCTTCTTGGGAAACGAAACCAAGTAATCTCAGATCATTTATGACGAAAATTACGGCTACGGGTGGCGATGATTACGAAGAAGCGATTGAAATAGGACTGTGGCACGCAGTTCAGCAAAGTGAACAATCAGAAGGGATTTCTCAAGTAATTTTGATAGGAGATGCGCCAGCAAAAGATCGTCCAGCAATAAAAAGAGATAGACAAGCTAATGGCGGTGAAGCATACTGGAGTAAAACTAAATATAAAACTCCAACTCATTATACAGATGAACTAAAGAAGCTAAAGGATGAAAACATTCCTGTTCATGCCTTTTATCTTGATGACGGGGCAAGAAATAATTTTCAAAACATTGCTAGTCAAACGTCAGGACGTTGCGAGCGACTTGATATTTATTCTTCTCAGGGTGCGGAAATATTGACTCATTTTGTAACTGAAGAAGTTCTCAGAAAAACAGGTGGCGACCAAGGAGATGCTATAGTTGAGCTATATAGAGCAAAGTATGTGAAAAGTTTTACCTCCTAAGAATAATTGATTAAAAACATTTAGACACTTTTCTACCTGACTATTTAGAATCTAATAAGGTCTCATCAATAGAAATATATTTTTTTTCTTTAGTAGTTTTATTTTTATTTTAAATAAAGTCTATCCTAAATGTAATGCCATCCCAAAAGTTATTGTAAACGCTTTCCATATAAAATATTTTACATATTGTCATCGCATATTAACCGTCATGTTCTCTTCTTTTCTTTTGTGTCCTATTATCTGTACTAATTACTGTTTTATGTGAACATAGTACATTACTTTTTTTATTATCATCGATTGTACTAACTGAATATTCTTGTTGATTTGTCATTTTTTCAAACTTTTTCTGTAGTTTTAAATCAATGAACTCTGTTCTTTGGATAACTTTGAAGTCAAATATTGAAATTCATTATTTGGCCATTTCTTGACTATCGGTCAAAATGCCTCTCTGTGGCACATTGGTACCCATTGACTCTTGGTGGTCTTAAAGACGGATGAGCTATGGATAATCGACCATGCTAAGCCTCGTGGCAATATTTGTTTTTAGAAAACGTTTTAAAAATCTACCGAAAAGCCAGTTTTACAAAAACTAGGGTGTTCAGCCTGTTTTCACCTAATATTAAAAGATTCACTATTCACTCAATAAACATCAGAACGAGTTTGAAACTTCAGAATGTAGAATATTTAAGAGAGGCTTCACTAGTAAGTCGAGTATTGCTTCCGAAGCCAGTGGAATGGTCGAAATTAACATATATATTTTTTAATGTTTTTGGATTCTACGATCAAAAGTGGAGTTATGAAAAACTTTTTGACCTCTTTGGACTTAATTTGACCAAGTTATAGCATTTATAAAATGGTCGGTGTCTGGGACTCTTGAAAGAGCATCCTCTTTACAATTTCCGCTATAACTTCATCATTTTTCATCCGTTCTGTTTGAGCAGCATCACATTCAAAAACCTGATAAAAACTAAAGAAAATAGTTGATTTAATTCTGTTCTGCTGTTGAGTTTTCCTAGATAAAAATTGGATTTTCCGAAATTTTCCAGTTTTCAAGACAAGAATATTTTTGATCAAAACGCAATATTGAATCATAAAAAGATTGCTGACTAGATTCTCTTATAGTGCATTTTATAGAGCATCTGATCCTATGCAAGATGCATTAAATAATTTGAAAAAAAAGTTTCAGAACATGGCGAAATTTGGGAAGCAAGACCACCAGTGGAGGTGATATGAACCTCATATCTTAAAACCTCATTTCCACCGACCTCACTCGTAAAATAGCTATCTTTCAGTAACCATTAATGGCTACCACTGTAGATTCATATCGTAGATGGAAGAATCAGGACTACATTTTGGTAAAAAGAAAAAGTTTTCATCTCTCTTGGGTCAGGAGTTATTAGCATTTTACGGAAAAGAAGTAAAACGCTTATATCTCACGAAACCATCTAGTAAAAGAGGCCCAAAGTTGGTGGGTGATCAGCATTTGGTAAGAGCTATGACCACACAAAATTAGAAGTCCATGGTTCTTGAGTTACAGAGAGCGCGCTACTTTTGCACAGTACTGTAGCTGCCTGAATTAAACAAACACTTTTATGGGAACTATGTCCATCTAATAATAACAGTATTGGTCGCTGAATATCTCTTGTGTTAGGAATAAATTTTTTAGTAAACCATTGATAAAGTGTTTCTTCTTCCGTCCATCCTTCTGATGATAAATTGTAAATTGGGATTACGACCTGATCAAATTCTATAAAATGTTCGCTCGCTACTTACTTGATGGGTACTTTCGACACCAGTTTGATAACATTCTTTTGGCTTTGTAAACAGCATACTATGGCAATATTTGACTTGCAGCACTAACACAAAAGTTAGTCGTGATTGGCTCATTCATCACCATTTCGCGAACGTTCCCAATTGGGTTTTCAGTGATTACAAGCAGAAACAGCATTTTGCTGGAAACATTCACGTTCAATTTTTAAAATTCGTTCGCTTTACATTTCTAGTTAGATTTACATTAGAAACACATCTGTACTAATTGCTGTTTTATGCGAACATAGTACATTACTTTTTTATTGTCATCGATTGTACTAACTGAATATTCTTGTTGATTTGTCATTTTTTCAAACTTTTTCTGTAGTTTTAAGTCAATGAACTCTGTTCTTCGGATAACTTTGAAGTCAAGTATTGAAATTCATTATTTGGCCATTTCTTGACTATCGGTCAAAATGCCTCTCTGTGGCACATTGGTACCCATTGACTCTTGGTGGTCTTAAAGACGGATGAGCTATGGATAATCGACCATGCTAAGCCTCGTGGCAATATTTGTTTTTAGAAAACGTTTTAAAAATCTACCGAAAAGCCAGTTTTACAAAAACTAGGGTGTTCAGCCTGTTTTCACCTAATATTAAAAGATTCACTATTCACTCAATAAACATCAGAACGAGTTCGAAACTTCAGAATGAAGAGTATATAAGCTATTCTATATCCTGTTTCTAGGAGATCTCGAAATAAATTTTAAAAATCCTGTTTCAAAAAACCAGTTCAACATCGCAGGATATGATTAATGTTGTCCGCTAAACGTGATTATAAGATCGAAGAAAATGGCAAGCTTATTTTTGTTAATAGGTTTTTGAAGAGAAGTTTTACAGTTACGACGCCCGAACCGCAGAAAATCAAGGGCTCAACTTAACTCGCATTTTGAAGAGAATATCCTGGGCTATCAGCCCATTAAAAAAAATCAATGGATTCCTATTTGAATTTCGGAAAATGCAAACTGGTTTTCCAAAGATCCTCTGAAAAACCGGCTTTGAAAATTGTATCGAAACTTAGTTTTGCTTATGAAGAGATAACGTCAAGTTTTGGCTATCGAATGGTGAAAACCGCATCGCTCTAGTGCTTTTCTTTACTGGGATATCAAAAAAACAGTCACGTGCCAGCTTTTTTTTATAGACAATACTATTTAAATCGATTGCCGAAGCGAATGTTGGATGTTGTGTGGTTGGTGTTTCTAAATGAAGAACTATCTGTGTATATTTCTTATAAACCAGATTACAGAATACGCACTTTTATTCCATAATATTGTATTTGAAATTGATGGAAACGGTGTTGTGCATGTGGTAGATGACAATGACGGCATGGCTTCTGTTGTTAGTTCACTTTCAAACCCATTTTCTGTATCCGTGTCAACGTTTAGTAATAAGTTTTCTTTGATCACATTAGTTCTATATGGTGGATGAAGGCCAGTTTTCATAAATCCTGAAGAGGAAGGACAATGACATGTGCATTTATATATTATTACTGCATTACAAATTCAATACACATATCTAAAATAACATTTGATTTCGAATTCCATCTTTCTCAAATAACTTCGCTAATAAACATGGAAAACGATCCTTACTAACTGGTTTACCTACATTTTCTGACAAATTCAAAATTTGCTTCAATTTATCTTTCACTGGTTTAAACACAACAACATCTAAAGGTTGTAGGATGTGAGTGGTGTGAGGTGGTTTACTTGCTGTTCAATGCAGTACTCCGTAAAAGTAGCGAGTCCCCTGTAACTCAAGAACCATGATGGCTAAGGACTTTTAATTTTGTGTGATCATAGCTCTTACCAAATGCTGATCCCCCACCAAGTTCGAGCCTCTTTTACTAGATGATTTCGTGAGTTATAAGCGTTTTATTTCTTTTCCGTAAAATGCTAATAACTCCTGACCCAAGAGAGATGAAAACTTTTTCTTTTTACCAAAATGTAGTCCTGATTCTTCTATCTACGATATGAATCTACAGTGGTAGCCATTAATGGTTACTGAAAGATAGCTATTTTACGAGTGAGGTCGGTGGAAATGAGGTTTTAAGATATGAGGTTCATATCACCTCCACTGGTGGTCTTGCT